GAAAAAAGAAAACGACTGCCAAATATATATGTTGTACTTTATCAGTAAGTGTTCTAAGAACAATATTCACCAGAATAATATGTTAAATAAGTTTTCATTCTGCATACTTTTTCAAGTTTTAAATAAAAGTACAAGTAATATTTGCTATTTATAGTAGTCCCTAAATATCCTTCCAGAAATTTTTAAATATGCTTATTTTAATTACTTTTTAAAAATCCTTAGATTTTGTTTATATTCATAGAGTCAAATCCAGTTGCCATGGGAAGATTTTTAAAAGTAAATTAACTTAGGGCTAAAAATGTTGCAGCTGACAGCTCACTCTAGTCCAGAGTTTCTTTTTTCTACAGACTCATTAACTGCCTGCATAGACACACAGATTGAAATGGCAAAGTTAAAGTACCTAAATACCTGACCAAGAACAAGAGTGTATTAAGCCACCATGATTTCAATGTGAACAAAGTTCAGTTAGTGTCAGCACCAATTCTTTCAACTTTTTACCTTTCAGAATAGGAATCTAAGGTCCCCTGCTTACTAGCTATCAACCTTCCTTCTGCTGCCACCAAAATGAGGACTGACCCATCCTATAATGTGATAGTGTTTTAATGCCATGAGTATTTTTCAGAAATAAAAAAAAGAACATAAGTTGCTCAAGAATATATATTTTATATCCAAATTGAAAAAGAAGATAGACAGTGTTCTCTTGGCCATTAAAAGAATAAGAATCATAAAACATATTGATAAGCCAAAAATGTTGAAGTTCTTGGTATATCTAAATAAGCATTTTATTTATCAAATTAAGAATTCAAATATCACTATAGTTTCATTGAAATGACTTGAAAAAACTACTTATTCAGTCTTAAATAAATTTTAATTAAGTTAAATTTCTATAAAGTGAGATATCTTCCTACCCCAGTTAAACAAGCTTTTATCAAAACGACAGGCAATAATGAATGCTGATGAGGGTCTAAAGAAAGGAAAATCCTTATACACTACTTATGGAAATACAAATTAGTATAACAACTATGGAGAACAGTATGGAGGTTCCCTAAAAAACTAAAAATAGAACTATCATATGATCTAACAATCCCACTGCTGGGCATATATCCAAAGGAAAGGGTATCAGTATATTGAAAAGATATCTACACTCCCTTGTTTATTGCAGCACTTTTCACAATAGCTAAGGTATGGAATCATATGAAGTGTCTGTCAATGGGAGAATGGATAAAGAAAACATGGTATGTATAAACAATGGAATATTATTCAGCCATAAAAACTAAAATCCTTTCATTGGATTTGCAGCAACATGGATAGAATTGGAAAACATTATATTAAGTGAAATAAGCCAGGCACAAAAAGACAAATATTGCATTGCATGTTCTCATATATGTTGAGTCTGGGAAGGATAGTAGGAAGGCAGGTATAATAAAGAAGGGGCAGTTAATGGGAACAAAATATAGTTAGGTAGAATGTATAAGATATAGCAGTAAATAGCACAATAGTGTGACTACAGTTAAAAACAATTTATTGTATATTTAAAACTAAAAGAGTAGGTTTGGAATGACCCTAATACAAATAAATGGCAAATACTTGTGGTGATAGATATCCAACTACCCTAATTTGATTTTATGTACTATATGCCTGTATCAAACATAATATGTACCCTATACATATATTATATATCCATAATAATTTTAGAAAGTTAAAAAAGAAATATTCCCCAAGGACACTTGAGTGCATACCACTGTGTACATAAAAAAGATAAACTAATATGAAAAAAATTGCTATTAAAATTATAAAACATAACAGGCTCATTTTCTTTATTACCTTGCTATTTTTTTGTTTCCTTGCTAAATAGATACAGTTTATGTATAATATAGATTGCTCCATTCATTAAGAAATTTAAGGGAAATTGCTTATAAAAATTCATTATGCATCTATAAAAGAATCACTGATGAACTCATTCTGTGGGAGGGAATAAGTATTATGATCTCTAACACCTTTGTTAGTTAATATCAAAGCAATATAATATTCCATTTAAGATCATACCTTAATTTATTGCTTGAAAATGGTTAATTTATTCAGTTTAATATACGGATTACTGCAATTGTCATCATTATTTTAAATTACCCAATAATTACAAATTCAACACATCACATGTCTATCTGCCAAAGGAGGATATAATTATTTAATTTAAAAACAATTGATCTTGATAAGAGTCTAAAATTATATAACAGTTTAAAGCACTGAAAATGGTTAAGATATTATATTAACACTGAGGAATAATTTAGATCTATAACTATAGTTCATATTTTATGTAATAAGTGTCAGATAAAAATTCATACCTTATAATTTGACTGCAATATAACAGTGTGATTTCAGCATGGATTGTTGCCACAAATTCAAAATTATAAAAGCACAGATGATTGCTTTAATAGCACGATGATGGAGATTATGCTTCCAAAAACAGTACACGATTTCAGCTGAGTAACTTGAGCAATAATACCTTAAGATTAAAAGTGCAACAGTAGAAAAGAAACAGGCAGGAAGCAAATGAAGCCAGAGGGTTTCTACTTGAAGTGACAATGTGAATGAAGTATCCAAGCAGACAAGTGAGCAGAGGAGACACGGCAGGCTAGCAACGGAAGATAAGGAGGAATTAACAAGGCTTTCGCGGTTTCACCTAGAAATAACTGCCAGGTGAAACACTGTTTGAAGAGAAAGATGCACTGCCAATTCCTAAAAAGACACCGAGAAAATCCAAGCCTGAAATAGAACAAGGCTTTGTTCAAACAAAAACAAAAACAAAACAGCTCCAAACCCCAAAACAAACAAGCAAAAAAAAAAAAAAAAATCCCTTTGATTTTAAATTATGGGCTGCCTATATAGTTGATCTTATCTCTATAATGCTATATCACAGAGATTCTGCTTTAACTCCCACACAGTGACACGATCATTTTTACTGGTCTGGAATCTGAGCCACTCTGTGCCCAAAAAAAGGCCAGTGTCCTTCTCTACGCCTTCACATTTTTTACATCCTCCTGCCAGAGAACAGTAAACTGCTCAGACACCTTTCCACATGAAGGGCCCAAATAAATCCTGTGCACATTACGGTTCCATTACCTCCTGACAAAAACCTTTCTTCAGCCACTTTCGGGAAACTAAACCTTTCCATCCCAAGTCCTTCCAATGACCAACAGCTCACAAACCTGGCAGAAAGGTAGACACAACTTTTCTAGGGCTTCACTTTCTTAAATTTAATAACTAGTAATAAATATCACAAACTTCCTTATTATTCTGGCACTAGTCAAGTTAGACATTCAAACAAAGTAAGCTAATTTGTTTCCCAAGTCCTCAATTTATTTGTATTTTTATGAATTGTGTCATATTTTCCAAGAAATGAATCAGAAGCTAACAGCTCTCTATTACGAACAAGAATGCTGTCCACAGCACTTTGCAAAATTCTGGGATGAGGAGTACAATTTAAATGGAATTTGGTATAGTACGTAAAACACAGGACTTGCTGGAGGCTTTTGATTAACTTAAAACTATATTTATTTAAGACAAGGGGCATATTATGACTTAAAATGATATTATACTATTTAGAGAGAATTGCAGTGATTAGAGGGCAGCAGGTCCAAAATATCAAAACTCTATTCCCAATATTTACAACAAGTTTTTAATAGTGGCAGAATACATTCTTTTTCCTCTTGATTCTGTTTTCCAAGATGTAGATCAAAGTTAATATTTATGCATCTCTCAAAAGTGCTAGGGGAGGTAATGTATTTATATTTTCTAACTGCTTTGAAGTTTAATCTCAAAGCCTTTATTATTTATAAAGGTTCCCCTGCCTTGATGAAATAAAAATATTATGACTGACATCATGCTGCAAACATTAGAAGGCAAAATATAATTTCAAAATTATGTATTAAATTAGTTTGATATGTCAGAATTAATTAAGTATGTCTGAGTCCAGATAATCCAAGTATTTAAGGTTTCAAAAGAAAAACAGTATGTCTTTTCTCAAGATATATAGCAGGGCAAGTTCCCCAGATCAAATATCAAAGGACAGGTTCTGTAACTACTCTGCAGTTCACTTAGCCTTTGACATTTAGTGTCTTTATTTGAGAAAGCAGAGAGAAAAATGCATCATTGCCCTTCTTACTGTGGAAGGCTGATGTACCATGATCAAACTAAGTAAGAAAAAATAGGTAAATTTTGTGAGTATCAAGGATTCTTTATTTTTCTTTCTTTTTTTAAATTATTCTTTAAGTTCTGGGGTACATGTGCAGATCGCGCAGGTTTGTTACATAGGTATACACATGCCATGTTGGTTCGCTGCATCCATCACCCTCTCATCTGCATTAGGTATTTCTCCTAATGTTATCCCTCCCTAATCCCCCCAACCCCTGCTATCCCTCCACTAGTCCCCCTCCCCCAACAGGCCCCAGTGTGTGATGTTCCCCTTCCTGTGTCCATGTGTTCTTATTGTTCAACACCCACTTATGAGTGAGAGCATGTGGTGTTTGGTTTTCTGTTGTGTCAGTTTGCTGAGAATGATGGTTTTCAGCTTTATCTGTGTCCCTGCAAAGGACATGAACTTGTTGTTTCTTATGGCTACATAGTATTCCATGGTGTATATGTGCCACATTTTCTTTATCCAGTCTCATCAGCACACAACCCATCTCTGTTTCTCATGGTCACTCTTCTTGTAGTGGCTTCAACTGTACACCTACTTCAACTCTCATTCATATTTTCTTTACTACTTTGAAAATATGTTGCTAAAATCAGGTGGGCAAACTTGACATTGAGCTTTAAATATCTAATGAAATCTTGGAGGAGTGGGGCTAAATTAGGTTATATAATTTCAAAGAAAGTTCATGAGACAAATTACTCCATTTGGTGTAATGGAGTAATGGTTGGTGGAGTTTAGATAAAGTTTTCCAGACTACTTAGTTTGGCTCAAGGACCAAAAAGAATGGAGTGTAAGTGCCATTACTTACTCAATTGTGTTTCTGTCCACTTTTCCTGTCATGTTAATGCCATAGAACTGCTGCATGGCAGCTAGGGCGGACTGCATGGTCTCTGCAGAGCGCAGCACTGACATTCTGGGGTCAGTCGGTGGAAGGTAGCCGTACTTTTGTAACCAAACCTGCAATAACAAGTACAGTTCCTTTTAGATAAATTTTACAATTTAACAATAGTTTTCTGGTAATTAATGTATGTCTATAATAGAGTTTTAAACATTTTCTCCACAAGGGCATACAGTATTTTAAGTGTTTGAATTTTTCTGGTAACATTTATTATATAGGTTAGGTTATTTTAATAAAATTGCAGTGATTGTTATGGATCTTTCAGACACACCCTCTAATGCTAATTTAAAAAAGATTAATCATGTGTTGCAAGCTTATAATATGTAATGTACTATAGCAAATGCTGGATAAAAGCTGATTATTCCTATCCTCCAGGACGTCAACCTCCCAAAGTGAACTTTTTCAACAGTATGACTCCATTGGGACATTTATGGTGCAAGGGGAAGTTAATGTGCATATACCACATTAAAGAAGCCATCTTCCTGAAGTTGACTAGTGACTCCAGCTATGATATGTAGCATCTTTACAGATAAACCATGTTAATCTATCATGACATTTTGGGTATAAATTCCATAAAGTCATTCTATCCAACTGTAGCTAAGGTATCTTTTGATGACTTTACCATGTGAAGAATATTATTTCTTCATTTATTTACAGTGACTCAGTTTAATCTAAATCACATAAGTAACCAAGTTTTTCACCTATAGAAGAAATATAATTATCATCTTAAGTGTGTTTAGCCCTCTCTTTAAGGGTCTCATGATTTTTATCCCCTACCTTCCCTGGTGATGGGGCCTCTGGGAGGACAGAGAAAGAAGTCAGAGTTGAGTTCACATCCTAATTGTGATTAGAGAAAAAATTCAGAGTCATTGAAGGTAAAAGTTTAAAAGTTAATATACACTCAGGGCATTTGGAAAAAATATGTATCTCCACCAGGGAGCAGATGCTTTCTAGTTTTCCAACTCGATGCATCCATTTTATATGCACAATCATATGTTCAGGCTACATCTCATCCTGCTGTCCTTTACCTCAATCTTCTTTCTATAGGGCTCTGAGATTTCCTGGAATTTAGTGAACTACCTAACAAATTGATAAGGGCCAAGTAATTTTGTCCTGGCATAAAGTAGAAGCCTTGCTATTTAGTGAAAGGTATTTGCCAGTATGTGTTTCCCTCCGAATCTTGGTCTATTTATTACATAAATTATCATCTTATAAAATTGTAGCTTTCCCTAATAATCAATATTCTTCCTTTATGAACTTAAACTTCTAAAACAGGAGATATATTTTCTAAGTGCAATTATTCAGCAAATATAGAAGTTAACTTTCACCAAAAGAAACTAATATTAAATGTATCAAAGTCTTGAAATGTGAAACACAAAGTGGAATTCTTCATGGTATTCCTGAAAGCCGACCACCTCAAAAGTACAGTACCGTAAGCACATCCCCTTGAAAAAAACATTATTCTAAAACTATTTAAGAAATGAGCAATGCATCACTGTCAGGAAGGTGTATTAGTGAAATTTAATCTAGTAAACTCATGTACTATATAATAAAAGCAAGCCAAAACACTTTTCTCATGTAATCTGTAATGAACAGGCTGCCAGGGAAAATATGAATATTCAGTTTCCTAGTTAATAGTGCAGTTTGAGGTAGACTCCATTTTTTTATGAATGAAAGAGGCAAAAACTGTTGTTTAATATAAAATCAATACCTATTGTTATGTGTTTTATCAAAATTAGAATGTTGCATCTTGATTTTTAATAACATACATACGCCAGTATTCTTAAACTGAATGCTTTTTCCGTTAACACTTTGTTTGCATTCATTTCTTACTTGCTGGAGAGCTGACTTGTTGCTAGGTTACTCATGGGTGCTAAGCTACAGGCAATTACGTTTATGAGGATAGCAAAGAAAAAACCATTAACAATAAACTCTATGACTTATGTACAGATAGAGGAACTATAAAATACATAAATGTTAAGTGCACAATGAACAGAATAAAAAGTACATATTTTATTTATGCATTAGCCTTTCAAACAAATGTTTTAAAATAATATAAAAAATGAATTGTGATTTTTCTTCAAGTTTTCTTTTACACTGTCATTTATCATGAAAGGGAGTTTTTCTCTGAATGAGCAGTGGATCATTATTCTTAATTGTAAAATATTGGGAAAGGTATGAGTCTATCATTTTATGGTCAAGGTTTGTCTTCTGGCAAATCAAGATTGATTTGTCACCTAGGAAATAAACCTTTCTTCCAAATTACAAACTTATAATATCTTTTTTGATAAAAAGTTAAATCTATGAAGTAATATTTGAAAATGTATCTTTCCCCTTACTCCTAGTATTCTGCTACTCAAGGTTAATGATTTGGCATGTAGTCTTTGCATCTTTTTCACTGTTCTTAAAAATACATTTTGAGATATATATATATATGTGAGTACGTATATGTATTTACAAACATATATACATATATGTCACAGATTATGCTATACCCTTCCATCCTCATATGTTTTTATTTGAAATATATTCCTGTTTTCATCACTGTCTTAAAATCCTTTACCTACTGGGTGATTGCAAATGCTAAATTTGTCTCATAAGATTAGTTGTGCCTTAATGTCTTTTCAATGTTCTCAACTGCACATTATGAATAGTTAAGGAATCATCCATTCTTGTGTGCACTTGGATGAATGATATACAATTTGTATGGGTGATGTTAGCATTAACTGAGAATATACAAAGCCTTCAGCATAATTCTTGTTCAGTACGTCATATTATTATTTTATGCTTACTAAGTACTCTGAGTTCTTAAAATTGCTCCTGTTCAACTTAAGATCTGTCCTTGGGATAAGGCAAGATTAAAAATACTGGTGAGGTTGAACTAGCCATAGCTATAAGGAAATACAAACAACATGGGGTAAAGAATCATAGAGTGCTTGAAAACTCCCCAAATCCAAAAGCAAATAAGGAAGATGTGACACATTTGGCAAATTAATTTTTGTTATGTTTTCTTCATTTTGTGCTCACTGGATTGATAAGTGTCATTGAGAACACTGAAAAAATATCAAGGGAGGAACAAGTTCCTTTAAGGAACTTGACTTTACTATCTGGGACTTACCCCACATCATTATCACTAGAACAACCAGCATCAAATGAAAACAACAAAATCTCACTTTGAATTACATTCCTGTTTTACTAACTCATTCAAACATCTTGCTACCAGGTAGACAGAACCAATCTCCGGCACGTAGTGGCTATTCAGCTAGACGAACAACCAGGACTGTTGTTCTCTGCAGAGCAAGATGATATATCAAGCAATAAAAGGTAAACACTTAAATATTAAATGCTGTGCCAATAGATACTGCCTTTGCTAGACTGTAGTATAAATAAGGACTGTCAGGCAAAAATTTCAGCAAAATTCATTAGTTAAAGAATGACTTTGTCACTAATATTTCATGTGCCCATGATGTGCATATCTACATTGACTCAGATATTCACCACATATATTAAGCAGTATCCTGAAAAATGATTATATAAAAAATGAAGATAGTAGAAGTTCTCACAACTAAGAGCAAATCTAAGCAGTCATATTTTAGAATATGTATCCTTATTTATTGCTTAAGGCTAATACTACAACCTAGAAAAATAAAATTCCCTCTAGTCTTTAAGCTGGTAAGTTTGTCACCATCTTAATATAAAGCTAGATACTGTTATTCATTTGCTTAGCTGAATCACAAATGCAAGAACAATTTTAAAACTTCCCCACTGACAGGACATAACATACAGAGAAAACATCTTGAAATACTGACTCTGATTAATTGCAGACATCCTTTCCCCCAGCAGAAAGAAGAAAAAAAAAATAAGTGAACAGGTGATTAAACTACTGAATATATTAGGGCTAGAAGAGATCCATTTTAGAAATTACAGAAATAGTTGAAGGAGAATATAAGGAAGGCTGTGTTAGGATTTTACTCAATCTGAAAAATCACTTTGCCAGTCCACAATGCCTACTTGTGACTGAATTCGTTATTTCAGGTTACTTCAAGTATAGCTAATTTCCAGCTAACATGGTATGGCAAATGCAAGTTCCTTGTACCCAGTGATTATATGATCCGAAGTACAGTATTCAAATGAAAAGAAAAGGGCAGAAAAGGGCAAAGGTGATAAATTTATTTTATAGCATTTATTTAGTAACAATCTCTTCCATTTAGTTGATTATATAAACATTTTTAATATTTTGGGAAACTTTTTTTTTAATTACTGACTTTACTTCAAATTTTATCATACTAACAAAATATTTAAATCTATGATGTTTAAAATATATCTGATATAATTAACTAACTTTCTCAGATGAGAGTCAACTGAAAGAACGCATTTTTAATAGATAACTTCTCAATGTTATAAAATGTTAATTTCCTTTTTTCATGATGAGACTTATAAATGCATTTGCTATATTTTGTTATAAAGTAAAATTAACAACTAAAAAGAGTTGACTCCTCTATTCTACGGTATCATCAGCAAAGTCAGTAACAACTTAACGACATTATATTTACTGCTTATAAAAAGTAATACCATATATTTACTGGTTATAAAAAGTGGCAGGATTTGTGGCCTACATTTTCTGTCGGGAAAATGGCTATAAATATAACTACCTATTAACCAAAAAATTAAACTGATGTTGGAGTAGTCATTCGGAATTGGACAAATTGAAAATTCATAGGATAGGTTAACAGGCAGAAATTAGCCTTTTTCTTCATTCAAAAATCTAAATGGGCTCTAAATCACCATCCCATCCCCAGCATGAATGGATTAGTGTATGAATTGCACAAATAGAATTCAATTCATTTAGAATTTTACCATCTCTTAAATGGCTTCTTAATATAATTCAATTCATTTAGAATTTTATCATCTCTTAAAAGGCTTCTTAAAATGGAAATGAAATAGTGGAACAACCAAAAGCTACTCTACTAAACATCTTATCAATCAAGAGGCAACCGTCCTTTGGACAGGAAGAGAAGAAAACAGCTAACTTACTAAAAGTTGTGATAACCATCATGAT